CGTCAGCTGAGCAGGAGGCAAACACCTGGGCAGGGCGGAGTCTGAGTGGCCCCAATGCCCCGCAGCCCACAGCCCATAGTGAAGCCCAGGCACCAGTGGTGGGCTACTAACTTTCACTGTCCCCCTTCCTAGCACTTGGCGTGGAAACTACATCTCCCCCAGGCTCCCAGCTCTTTTCCCTTGGACCCAGGATTCTAGGTTCGTCCCTGGCACAAACCCCGTCAGAACTAGATGAGCAGACCCCCAGCCCGCCCTCACCGTGTCCTCGGTCGGTGACCACTGCAGGTCCTCCACAGAGCGTGTGTGGCCCACGAATGGCCGCTGGTCCACGCGCCAGGAGCTGCCGTCTGTGGGTGTCCAGAGGTGGATGTTCTTTTGACAGTCACCGGTCAGCAGGCGACCTGGGGAAGGGAGTCAGGAAATGACCTCGCCCCCACTGCCTGCAGTTCGCTCCCCTCTCTGGAGTCTAAGTGCCCCCGCCTTGATGCAGACCCTGCTCCCCCAACCTCCCGGGGACTCCTGAACACCGCAGGGACTCACCAGGCACCCGGGGGGACCAGTCAAGGGCAAAGCCCTCGCCCATGTGCCCCGCAAAGGAGAAGATGGGCTTCATTTGGGCCTGCTCATCCCGGAGGAAGGCTGCCAGGGCCTGGGGGTCCTCCACCACTTGTAGAAGCCGACGCAGCGCAAACACCTCCACCTGGCCCTTCTCTGACCACACCCCAGCCACAGGCTCTTCACCCAGCCATGATACCTGCAGAAGAGTGAGGGGGAAGGCTGATGAGAAGCAAGGGGAGAGGAGGATCAGGGTACTGACTGCAAGCTCCCCATATCCCAGAGAACCAGAGGCACAGTTCCTCTGATCTCGCAGGGCAGGGACTGTAGTTCCTAGAAACCTCTGTGGGAAGGAAGCCACAGCCTGCCAAACCAGCGTGGTAACTTGGACGGCTCTCCACGGGGTGGGGGTTGGGGGGGATGGGAGTGGGTGGGGGAGCTCAGGTGGGAGGACAGAGCTCCAAGATGCCTGGGAGTCGAGGCTGTAATTCCCGCCAGCCCACGGGAGTCTTTTCAGGCTCCTGGCCTCTGTAACCCTCTAAACGCTGGGAGGCCGCAGGTGCAGTCCTTGGATCTCCTTGCTTCTGTATTTGTTCACTAGGATACCCAGTCCAGCCACAAGGTTTCCAGTTACCCACTAGCCCTGAACTCTCTCCTGGGCTCAAGATGCTTATTGCACTGACGGTTCAAACTTTCTTGTTTTTGAGACAGGGACTGGCTCTGTTGCCCTTGAGCACAACTCACTGCAGCCTCAACCTCCTGGGCTCAAGTCTCTTCCTACCTCAGCCTCCCAAGTAGTTGGAATTATGGGTGAGCACCATCACATCCGGCTTTTAACATTTTTTTGTAGCCAGGCGTGGTGGCTTACGCCAGTAATCCCAGCACTTTGGGAGGCTGAGGTGGGCAGATCACCTGAGGTCGGGAGTTCAAGACCAGACTGACCGACATGGAGAAACCCTGTCTTTACTAAAAATACAAAATTAGCCAGGTGTGGTGGCATGCACCTGTAATCCCAGCTACTTGGGAGGCTGAGGCAGGAGAATCACTTGAACCCGGGAGGCGGAGGGTGCGGTGAGCCGAAATCGCGCCACTACAGTCCAGCCTGGGCAACAAGAAAACTCTGTCTCAAAAAAACATTATTTTTGTAAAGATGGGGTCTCACTTTGTTGCCCAGGCTGGTCCGGAACTCCTGGTCTCAAGCAATCCTCCTGCATGGGCTTCCCAAAGTGCTGGGATTACAGGCATGCTTGCTCAGCCTTGACCATTCAAACTTTTTTTTTTTTTTTTTGAGACAGTCTTGCTCTGTCACCCAGACTGGTGTGCAGTGGTGCGTTTTTGGCTCACTGCAACCTCTGCCTCCCAGATTCAAGTAATTCTCCTGCCTCAGGCTCTGCAGCAGCTGGGGTTACAGGTGCATGCCATCATGCCTGGCTAATTTTTTGTACTTTTTGTAGAGACTAGGTTTCACCGTGTTGGCTAGGCTGATCTCAAATTCCTGATCTCGGGTGATCCGCCCACCTCAGCTTCACAAAGTGCCAGGATTATAGGTGTGAGCCACCACACCCAGCTGGACTTTTCTAAAAACGGAAGGAGGTTGGGTGTGGTGGCTCATGCTTGTAATCCCATCGCTTTGGGAGGCCAAGGCAGGCTGATCACTTGAGCTCAGGAGTTTGAGACCAGCCTAGCCAACATGGCAAAAACCTTGTCTCTATTAGAAATACAAAAATTAGCTGGGTGCAGTGGCAGACACCTATAGTCCCAGCTACTTGGGAGGCTGAGGCAGGAGAATGACTTGAACCCGGGAGGCGAAGGTTGCAGTGAGCCGAGATCACGCCACTGCATTCCAGCCTGAGCAACAGAGTGAGACTACATTTCAAAAAAAAGAAAAAAAAATGAAAGCCACGAGGAGGTGTTGGGAGAGTTATGGACATAGGGAATGGGTCGGGTGTGTTTCAGAGAATGCAGAGCAGACTCCTGGGACCATGTCTACTCCTGGGACCATGCCTACCCGAACTCGGTTGATGCCACCATAGTGGGGCACCATGGCCAGCTCCAGCTGAGGCTTCCGATCGTCTTCATCCTCTTCATCTTCCTCCTCCTCTTCATCACTGCCCTCTGAGGGTGTGGGCTTAGTCCCATGCAGATTGTGCATCCGAAGGATCATCAGTCTGGGATAAAGTGGGGGGTGAGTAAGGCACTAGATCCCAGGATTCTTAGGAAGGAGACAGGCTGGAAACCCAGACTTCTGGGTCTGGGACAGGCAGCAACTGGAAGCCCTAACTCCTGGGTCCTGAGGAAGGGGCTGGAAACTGAGCCTCCTGGTCCTGGAAAAGCCTCGGGTCTTACCTGTTGCTCTGGGCGCTCTCGGCCTGGGTCCCAGCACACAGGTAAAGTGTAAGAGGAAGCTCTGTCCGGCTGTCTCCCAGGTGATCCCGGACTATGTCAAAGCTGAGACAGGGGGCGCCTGGGGATGGAAGGAGGGGTTTACGAGTTAAGACTGGACACTGGGCCGGGCGCGGTGGCTCACGCCTGTAATCCCAGCACTTCGGGAGGCCGAGGCGGGTGGATCACGAGGTCGAGACCATCCTGGTCAAAATGGTGAAACCCCGTCTCTACTAAAACTACAAAAAATTAGCTGGG